TTAATGAAGACTGACCACCAGACTGGTCCAGTTTAACCATGAAACCTCCCACACTGAAATGACAGCTGTTCCAGTTTCATTGTCCAACCGCTGTAGGTGTGAGGTTAGGTTTAGAGTCAGGTATGTTTCTGTGAGGTTAGGTTTAGAGTCAGGTATGTTTCTGTGAGGTTAGGTTTAAGTTTGAGGTACTCAGTTCAGCCCACTTGTTTGGTGCAATCAGATGTGAATCAGAGACCTGTGTCTGGATCCAGTCTCTTCTCTGAGTGGAGCCATGTTTTCAGAGCAGGGTGGGGTTCACTCTATCTCTGTAATTTAAATTTTACCCGCCCTCAGCTCTGAAACAGCCTGTAATCACTCTTCAACCCCAATCAACAGACTTTAACTTCTATCAGCAGAAAGTCTAATCAGAGCAACAGATTACCAGCTGCTTYTTGATCATCAACCAGTTTTATCTCCCAATCAGAGTCCAGTTTCACATTGAAGAAGTTCTGTAGATGTTTTACCTCCACTAATACTGACAAACTGGAACACCCATAAAACTGACAGATCTTTAGTTTGATTTTCCACTTGTTATTTTTTACTTCTTATTTTTCTTTCAGTTTGTCTGAAACATGAGACATGTAGGAGCTCCTGTGAGACAAGTTTTAACACTGATTAAAGTACAAAGTTTCCTGCAGAGTAGACCACCCTGCAGCAGACCCTGCAGTCTGATATGACTCTGTAAAAACACACCTGACACATAATTAGAAGCTAAAATGTTTCTGATTTGTTTCAACTCAAGAGACCTGAGGTATCATTTTAAGCCTGAAACCATTAAACAGCAGCTTCTCCTCTGGATCAGCACCATTCAGTTCTACATTTCTGCAGAGATCGATGCAGGTTTTTACTCATCTACTTCTATAACTTTTTGTATTRTACTTAAATTCTTCTGATTAATCTTTATTGACCCTGTGCAATGAGCAAATGCTACTGGATGCCTTGAATTTCTGTCTGGGCATTTTAAAGTATCTCTCTCCATCCATCTGTCATGTAGCATACACGTGATGTTAGCATGTAGCATTTAATTGATCAGGACAGACGGTGTTAGCATGTAGCTTTTGGTGACTCACCTGTTAAACTCGTAGATGTCTTCAATGTTGCAGAACAAAGTGCTGACCTGATCCGGTTTCAGAGGCAGAACTCCACAATCGATGATGCAACCCAGGTAATCCTGCAGAGACAAACAGAACAGGGTTCTGCTGAGAGGATTCAGACATTCYCTAACTCTCATGAAACGCTTTCTGTTTGTCTGACCAGACGAAAGTTTGAAGTGACTGAAAGGATAAAATACAATAAAAATACAGAGTATGTGTGCATTCAGCAGGGCTATCTGTGTGCCATGGTAGCTTGAAAACTACACAGAGATGCAGTAAGTGAGCACACTCTCAGAACAATGACAGAAGACGGTCAAGGATTCAAGGATTCAAGGATTCAAGAATTTATTGTCATTGTCCAGGTAATGAAATTGTGTTTGGACTACAACACTCAGTGGTATAAGCGTATTTCCCATTAAAGTACATAAAAGGTAAAAGTGACACCAGTGCTTGCACACATACATCTTACAAAACTGTAAATTAAYAAACAAATAAACGAGTAAACAGCTCCCCAATCCCACTATGATAAATAAGTAGAGTAAGTAGCCCCAGTAACTAAAATGTAAATGTTAGACTGTGATTTCTCAACAGCCCTGTAAGTTCAAAAGTCTTATAGCATGGGGGTAAGCAACTCCTTCCTTAGTTTCATCCTCCTAAGGATCCTTAAAAGATGGAGACGTTGTTGAGCCTTCCTCACTAAGGGTGTGGTGTTTCAGCTCCACTGGAGATGGTTGTCCAGGACACCCAGAACGTGAACGGTTAATTTTACTAGTTAGGTTTAGAGGTATGGTGTGAGTTAATTTCTGGTTCAGGTTAGTGTTAACTATAGACCAGTAATGG